TTTTAATTAAAAATCCACCCTCCTCAGTTGACTCCTTGATAAAACTTCCTACTATCCCAGCAGGGCTCCGTAAGGCGTTGGCATCTGCAATGTTTCGGAGGAGGAAGACGAATCTGTTGCTTCAGACTGCTTTTGATGGACTAAGTATCTAAAAATAAAAGTGCCCCACTGCTGCCTGTTTTGTAACACTCTCTGTGCAACATTTTATTCACACCGGCTCTCAGGTTTTTGGCTCCTCGTCGAAAAAACTGGCGTGTAACGGCTGAGTAAGCTTTACGTAATCTCTTGCTGCCTGTGGTTAAACGTTGCTGTGCAGACTAAAAGTAAGACCAAAAACACCGGATGGCCTGAGACGCGATGGGAGAGATACTGTTTATCTGAATATTGCCCTGTGTGTTGATCTCGTTTTACTCTGCCCGACGCACACCGAGAGTTGCGTGCGCCAGCGTGATCAGAAGATTGTGAGGCTTAGTAAAGCTGATCTTTATAATCTCAAACGAATTCTTTAGAAGTGATAAATATATGCACCTTCATAATAAAAGATGGGAGTAACAGGATGACACATATAAAAAACAGTCCCAGTTCTTGGAACTTATAACTTCTGGTAAAGAATTAGAAGGTGTGTCACCTGCTGACCCAATGAAATCTAAAGCCAGTGAGACCAGGAAGCAGACTTGCTCCAGTGGTTCTGAGCTGAGGCTTAGGAGGACGCCCTGATTCTAGCATAGCAGCTTCATGGAAGAGAAATATATTTTTCATCTGAAACTGGTGACATCTAGTGGGGGTGCTGAAGCTGCACGGCTGCCTGGCTCGCTGACAGAAACATCTCGAACACTCATAGTTTGATTGTGATTACTGTGCTTGCTGCTTTAAAGGCACGAGAGCTCGAAGGATAATCTGCACGAACATATTGTGAACAAACCCTAGATCTTAACACATATTGAACTGTGCAAAAGTCTTGAGCTTTCTGAAGGTTCTTTCAGTGGTTTTCTTTGGAAGTTGGCTGCTTTTTCACTCATTTTCAGTTTTAAATATAATCTTTACCTGTTAATAGGGGACTGTCATAAAAAAACCATCATTTGTTCCCATTTGTTTAGTTAAATCTATGGCACATGCCATAGGTTATCTCAGCACAGTGTGCTCCATAGAAAATTGAGGAAACTTGATAAGTGCAGGGCAAACATGGGTTTCAGGTCTAAAAAACAACCTACAGCAGATGAACAGTATCTTAAGTCATGTCATTATAAGACAGAAGAAAACTGGAGGAGATCCTAAGCGGGCCAGACCAGTAAAATTCCCCTTTCTGTCAGTATAAAAATGTTTAACTACACATTTACTCACCACATCCTCATCTAGGTTTGACTGCATTTCTAATAGATAATGGCACATGGTTGGAGCACAGATTAAAAATGCAGTTTGGGGAAGGCCAGGCAGAACCCCACGTACTAAAGAGAGGTGAATGAATGTTTATTTAAAAAAGGAGGTAGGGCATAAAAACGAGAACAAACGGCGAGTGGTGCAGGGGACATGCATGAGGTGTGGGCCTTCTGTATGACACCCCTGGGCTAAAGCATCTGTACTGAAGGTCTATGCTCTATACTTACAGAAATTACAAGCTTGCCTAAGAGCGTCCAGCATGTCTTGATGAATAAAGGTTGGGATTGTAAAAGCTCTGTTTGTGCCCCATGCGCTGCATGTTCCAATAAATCACTGCACCCATTTCCCATCAAAATAACTTCAATTGCATTTTATTTATATAGCACCAAATGACAACAACAGTCACCTCAAGGCGCTTTTGTATTGTAAGGTAAAGACCCTACAACAGTACAAAGCTAAAATCCTAGACAATCGTATGACCCCCTCTGAGTAAGCACTTTGGCAACAGTAGATATTTATCATATGATTTTAACGTTTTGTCTGCTTTTCAACTGAAGCCAATGCTGATAATGTTCAGAAATCATCAAATGTGTGAAAACAGTTTGTCCTAAACTTGACAAACTGTTCTGTTCAAAATGTTCCGCTAAGGCCAAATAGAAGAAAGTCACGACCTCAAGAGAGTCTGGTGCATTTTTTGTTTTTATTTCTTTAATGACTAGAAATTTTGCTGTGTGAAATCCGCAGGGCACTTGATCTTCTGGTACCAGCCAACGACTCGGCGTCTTAACTTTTTGTCACCAGTTCAGGATACAAGAACATCATGAAAAAGACACACAGATGTAATAAAAAGTTTCTTTCCCCCCCCAATAACAAAAAGTTAAAAAAAAAACAAAAAACAAAAAACCTTGAAAGAATAATAATTATCATCAAAGAATAATAAATAAGAAGCACTCTTCCCTGTACAGACATATATTCTAGTCTAAAATCTCTTGTAATAAAAATAGAACTTCAGTGCATTTCCTTTGACACATTTCTGCTGCCCCCTCAGCACGTCTGCGATACAACTCTTAGTTATCCTGGCATTAAAGCAATGGCCTTTACAAAAGAAACAAAGTATTAACCCTCCAGAAGAACATTTTTAAAAAAAGCTGATATAAAATTTCACAGCCTTCTCTTTACTATACATCTCAAAAACACAAACCTGGACATAAAAGGCACAAGAAACTACAATTTTCAGTAATACTGGACAAACAAAAATGGAATTCTTTTCGATGAACAATTTTGGTCATTTACAAATGTATTTCTATTCCTTTCACATTGACAGCCCCGTTTCCAACAAAGTCAGGACCTGGATTAAAATGTGCATTAAAAACAGAGTGCAGTTAAATGTGCACGTTTTGTACCCTAATATGAGAATAGCACAACTTTTATTACTTTATATTCTTACTGTGGTTTTTGTTATGCTAGATAAAAGAAATCAACACACAGACAGGCAACCATGACGTGAAAAACTGGTGCTATGGTTCGAATACTCAAAAACTTCTTTAAATTCTTCTGTAAATCACAGATGCTGTGTCCTGCAGGCTAAAGAGATATACATCTGGCTTGTGCTAAATCAGGTTTAGGATCAGCATGTGCTGCTATGTGGATTGTCTTTTTTAGGCAAGGTCCTGCTTATTTTAGCAACAAAACTACATTCTGCATATCACCACGAAGGCACCGAGGCTCCATCCAGGTGCCGGCACTGCCCGCCTCTCACTCAGAATGTAGAAATAAATATAGCAAAATGATCCCAAAATGTTCTGAGTATTAAAATTGTGTTTAAAGCAAAACTAAGAAAAAATAGGTGCTCTCAGAGTTAAAGAATGCGGTGCCCTCCTTTCCACAACACTTGGTGTTTTAAAGGGTTGAGCTGCTGTCCCAAAGTTCTTTAAAGATGGTGCTTAACATGACTTCAACTTAAAAATGTGCATATACAATTCAAAAAAATTAATGTTTCTACTTTCAACATTTGTTATATTGTCACCAATTTTCAGTTTAATGTGAGATTTAAATCATTTTCAAATCACTGTATTCTGTTTTTATTTTACATTTTACAAAGTGTCAAAGTGTACCAGCTTCCTTTGGAAACAGGGTTGTATTTACATTATTACCATATATATATGTATATATACATAAATATATATAGACATATACATATACACACATATATATATATGCACAAACATTGTTTTCATAAAGAAAAAAGTGCATCTTTATAACAAACCTGAATATTGCCAAAACAAACATTAAATGAACAATAGTATTGAAAATGTATAAAACCCCCCAAAGCAATTACAAAAAAAAAAACAGACTAGTGTAGCAAACAATAAAGCAAAATGGGATGCACGATGCATCGAAGTGTAGACGCTGTCAAGTTCTCTGGTCTCCTGTGGCGGAGTCTCCTTTAGCTCCTCCCTCCACCATATCACTACCAGATGTTCGTTCCTCCCTCTCAGGCTGTTGTCCGATGACGCTCGAGGCTACCGGGGGCGTTAGACTAGGGGGTGCTCTTGAACGGTCGTCACTGGCGCAGTGCTCAGTGGTCTCAGTAGAGGACCCGTGGGTGTGGACGGAGCTGTGCGAGCTGCCATATTGCTTTGAGTCTGTGGCCTCCAACTCTGGTTTGGAAAATGTTAGTGCTGTGCTAAGACCTTGCTGCCCTGACTGGCTGGTTCCTGCTGTCTGGTGCTCTGACCAGTGGTCTCCAGGAGTCCTAAGCCCTTGAGTCCTGGGGGTCCCGCCCCAGTATGTTTCAAACCTGGCCAGTGATGGCCCCTCCATCGGGGGTGATGTTGGGGACGACGGGGTAGTAGCGTGGGACCTTGGTCTTGCCTGTACAATTTGGATCCCTCCTATTGGGATCATCGGATAAGGGACCTTGGCTTGCTGGGAGTGCATGGGAAGATGGCTGAAGATGTTGTCTGTTGTCTGGTGGCCAGGATAACCCTCACAAGTGGAAATGCGAAAAGCAGGTGGAAACAGACTGGTGTCTGACCATGTTGGCCCTTCTCCTGCTGTTCTGCTTTTCTCCTGTAGGTGGAGCAAAGACTATGTTATTGCTAGCTCATGAGCCTGCTCCTCTAGTACACAAAGTCCTCTACCCTGAGAGCTTTTTGAGAGACAGCGTAGAGAAGACATACGGATTGCTTAATGTTTCTCTGGTTGAAAGTGCAGCCACATATCTGTGACTCGTCTATGAACATGTGTGCTGTAAGTAGAAAATAGACTTACCACTCTGATGTGACTACCTGATGCACCAGGGTTCTCCCACGGTAAGTACCCAGGGGTTCTGTGCTGCATCCCCAGGGGCGAGGGAGGCGTTGGAACCTGTGACGATCGGTAGCAGCTGGGTGAAAGGGGAAGGAGAGGAGAAAGGGGTCTGATGGGAGAAGGTCCTCGTTCGGGGGAAGGTGAGACATGTCGGCTGGGTGAGGGGAGCTCTGTCCTCGGAGAGAGGCTCTGGATGGGTGACGAATACTCCAGGCGGGGGGAGAGGCTGCGGCTGGGGGAACAGCTCTCACTGCTTGGGGAGAAAGCTCTTGGAGATGCTTTCCAGCCTCGCCGGGAGAACACTGCTCTCCTGCTCCCCGGCGAGGCCGCTCTTCTGCCGGGCCAAACTCCACGTGGGGAGGGCTCCTGGCTGGTGCAGGGAATGGGACCCGGAGGCTCGGGGTCAGGAGTGCCTTGCTTAGAGTGCCTGCTGGAGCTTGAACGCCCCCCTGTTGATGGGTGGGTGTCAGACGATACAGAGGACGGTGGGTCCTCGTGGGACGTGGACTCCTCTTCCTCTTCTTCGTCATCGTCGTCGTCGTTGTCTTCGTCGTCATCTGACTCCTCCACGTCAGAAAACTGATGCTCCTCCTGTTCCTCCGAGCCACACACACGCTCTTCACTCCCTGCTGTTTGTGCAGACACAGAAAAACACGCAGACTTTAGATATCTGTTCATGCCAACACCATGGGCCCTAAAAACTCATTTACTGGATGCGCAAAGTCGTGCAATAAATCCTCACACAAAAGTCACAAAACAGCAATTTACAGGAACAAGCACAAAGCGTGAGGACAGTCAAAGCAAAGGACAAACCAAACCCGGCACCCTTCAAACGCACTTTATAAATAGACGGAGAATGAAAAGGAATTTAATTGAAAAGCGCCATGCATCTATTCACAAACTATCTCAGCAGCCTTGTGAATGGAAAGACAGTTTAAATGGCGCATCCTTGGCTGTGATGAGTGTAGTCTGTTGGCAAGAAAGAGACAGCGAGAGAGAGGAGGGGTTGCAGAGGAAGGTTAGGGAGGAGATCGTGAAGGCTTTGAGGCTTTTTTTCAGCTTTGACGGGGAGGTGTCAGCTGTGGCAAAAGGGCTCAGCTTTGTTTCGTTATATACCAAGAACTCATCTTTAAGGACAGGTTACAGCAGCCAGACTGTTGCAACAGCATCAGGACGCTGTGGCATGTTCTGTATTCTTCATTTATTTATCTTATACTTTTTCAAATTTCTTATGCAAGGCCAGAGGGAGGAGAATAGAACATCGTGTTGCATAAGCTGTCAGTGCTGAACAGCTACTATTCTTCACAGGCAGGAGTTCATCCAGCTGTGTACCAAGATTTCTCCACAGGGGGAAGGCAAGTATGTGAGACTCATCCCCACCACCTGAAGTACCTGTTTCCTCGCTCTCCGGCTCATCCAATGATGACTCAGATACACCCATTGCCTGGCATTTTTTCCCATGAGCCTTTGACTTCATGTGTTTTGTAAGGTTTCCTAGGAAGAGAAAAAGAAAGAGAGTTTAAGACATATGAGATGATCATTTTAGCAGCACAGCCAATAATGTGATCACTGGGCAAAAACAGCATTTTTACATTTAGGACCAAAGAGCTCATCACGTTTTAATAAACAGAACCCCAATTTTCCATTCACCTTTGGTTTTGAAGGCAAAGTTGCAGTGTTTGCAAATGTATGGACGGACATCGGTGTGCGTTTTGATGTGCTTTTTCAGCATGCTTGGCTTCTTGCAGCGGATGCCGCACTCCCCGCATATGTACTTTCCCCTGCCGCGACCTCTCACGTAAACATACTCCTCATTGGACTTATACCTATGAGAAACAGACAGGTAAGAGATCAGAGACAGCAACTTTAAGGCTGCATTTATTAGATTTTAGGTCACTTGAGGAAAACCGGAACAAGCTGTAAGCACAACATTCACATTACCCCATTTGCAAATTTATCACCGTTATGGTGAGCAGATGCAGGGCAACATTAGGATTCCTTTATTGTTGTTCTTTTCAAGGGCAACTGCTGATTTTAAGTCCAGTAATACCTCCTCTTTCTGATTTTATGTCTCATCTTGAAAAAACATTTTCCTCTTTATCTTCTAAACTGGTGCAGTCCCTGAATGTGTCACTTGATGTGAAAGCGATAAGACAGGTTATTTCTGTACTGAAAACAGCACCACTATAAGCATAAATTCACTGAATGAGTGTGTGTGTGTGTGTTACTGCGAATAAATACTCATAAAGCGAACTTGAGACCAGAACCAACCGAGGCAGGTGCAAAATAATCAAACAGGAAGTCGACTTGTTTAGATGTTTGCTTCGACAGTCACACTCTGATAGACAGAAAACACTTAAGCATGGAAGAAATGAATGAGTGAATGAGGCAT